TGTGTGCCTTGTCGACTCAGTTTCATCCTCCGCGCAATCCGCCCCTCGCCCCAATCTCCACCACCCCCCCGCCTCCCCCCGAAGTTCGAAGGAAAGTGGGTTAGACCGCCGCAGCGGCGGGCCCTTCAATTAGCGAAACCGCGCGCGAGACGGAGATTGTTCCGGCAAGTTTAACTTCGCGTTGAGATGAAAAAAGACTTTGCATATCGGCCCCGACGTTAACTGCAGCTAATTCCGCTCTCCTTCTTCTTCCGTTAGTACGGACCCCCTCTTTCCCCACCCGCCCGTTTCGGGACGGGATCCTCGGGGGCGTTTTACTGTTACGCGTTACCGGAGAGCGCAGTTAATCATACCGGAGTGCAGTGTTACGCGGTCGTTACGGTAATGAGTTTTCTCACCGATCACCGTGAGATTCACTTGGAAGTTCTTGGTCGGCGAGTTCTTGAAGTCCACCCGGCATCGGTAGACCCCCTCGTCGTCCAGCTGTACCGCCTCCAACGAGAGCGCGGCCGGCTTCGTCACCGTGATGAAATAAGCCCTGGGACCCACGGCGGTGCTGTCCGACCAGTTGAGGGCTTTGTTGAACGACCGTCCCCGCACGTCGAAACTGTGTACACATTTCGCGTACACTTGATGTAAATAATTCGCGAACCAACTCCGGAATTCCATTTCCTTCTTTCTAACGCGTTTCCGAGCTCCGGAGGACCTCCGCTTTATTTTTTCAAGTTTTTTTTTTCCTCGGCGCACAGAGCCGCTTACCTGTAAATGGGCTTCACCGCGAAATCGCGGAACCAAAGGACCATGTAGACGCGATCCTCTCGCGTGGACGGCTCAATGTCGCAAGGCAAAGTGGCGGTACGGCCAAGCACGGCGCTGACCTTAGACGTGGACACTGGGGAAGTTGAAGAAAAGTGATTAACGCGTCGGTCACCGAACCGCGCGCGATACTACTGGCGTGTCCTTATCAGTTTACGTGCCACGCGACTAATTGAAATTTAATTAGATGAAGCAACGAGCTTGTCCGTTTCAAATGTACAACATTTATTTTACTTATTGTATAATACATATTATTGTCGGATTTATTTATTATTTATTCGGACGTATTGTGGATGTGTAACGTTCAGATAAATTTTTTTTTATCAAATGTCAGCTACGTGGCATATTTAATGTGAGTGACAAAGACAGTCGTTATTATTTACGAAAGGATATTGCACAGTAATTGCGAGTAAACAACTTATTCTCTGTGCTGCAAATAATTTTTTCCCAATCTGTAGCTGCCGTTTAAATGGTTGAAATTAAGGTTCGAGGAATCATTAAGTTCCTTCAATGTCTCTGATTTTTAATGGCGTCTTCGGAGTCTCGCTGTAAACAACAATGCGACTCGTCTTTCCTGATTAAATCTCATTAACTTCGACGCTTTTGAATAATTTTACTTACAATACTTCTTCTGTTTTCTTAGAGGCAGGCATCACGGGTCGCTTAATAATTGAGTTAATAAATTCTGACGAATGCACGGAGCTACTGTGTAATATCATGTAATTTTGAATTTTAATGTAAATCCGAAGGCGCCATTATGCTTAATAACTCTCGGCGTTTTGTGAATTGCTAATTATATGGTTAATAAGTTAAATGAGCTGTAACGTCGGCTTTTATGTCACGAAAGAACGTGGAAAGTTATTAAGTTAGTAGGAAGTATTATAAGTAAACTGACTCACAAGCCATTCAGGTAAACGAGATTTAGCAGCGAAAAACTTGAGATTAAATTTTTTCCTCTTATTGTTTGGCGTGATTTTAAATTACCCTGAAGTAACGCGCGCGCGGCTGTGAGGGATCCTATGAACTCTATATAAGCGGAGAGTAACATCGTTTACGTTTCGCGAAATAAAGTCCGCATCAAGGATGTGTAGATGTCTTAAGAGACATTTCTCTCCAATTTAACATTCCATTCTGGACGCGAGGAAAGAACCCGCTGGCTCGCGACATATAAAAAAAAAAGAAAAGAGGAAGCTGCTTTGCTTCTTACGAATAGAGAGACGGGAAAGCAGCTTGGAAAAATATCACTAATGAAGTTCGTTTTCGCGCATAATGGAGAGTTTCCACCCGGCAGCGCGAAATATAATTACGGCGCGCGTAAAATTTCTTTGAGCTGAGTTTCACGCTCCGAGTGATTTCCGGTATCGCAACAAGCTTGCGTCTGATTCTCCTCCCCCCCCCTCTCCGTTTTCCGATACCGCCGCAATTTTCATCAATCGAACGACGTCTGTAACACGAATACGAACTCTTCCGGCAGGATATCGCTTTTACGTTTGTTTGTGACGCCCCGATGAAAAATGTACATGCCACGAGCCATTTATCTTTTTTAGCATCGTATCAGCGCGATTATTATCTGTTCCATCTATTTAAACGCGTGTCATTTTCTATGCTGAAGGCAAGCAGATTTCAAAGATACAAATGAAAACTGACGAGTAACATGAATATGTAATTGGAAAATGGCTATGAATGAAAGTTCAAGATAAGATAAGCCGTTTGCGTAATTAGGAGGGGAGGGGAAAAGGAGGGGAAAAAATTGGAAATATCGACTGAAAAATTTTCAAACGGCTGTAAGCGGGACGGATTATAAATTCAAAACTTGTAAAAGCTTCGCACTTTTGATCAAGGCATTAACCGTTATGCATTAACGGGAACTTATTTATTATTTCATCACATTTTTAAGGGGGAGTATTCAGAGCCTCCGCATTTGCGTTTTGACCTAGTTTTATTTTTTTTTTTAAATGCCATAACTTTGTAAATATCGATTCTAACAGTTTTCAATTTCATGACTTTGTCAGTTTTCCACTTTTCAATATGCATTTATGAAATACGTATTGGGTTCCATTTTGTGCACAAAAGCCATATAGAGTTCCATTCTGCGCCGGACATGCTGAGTGTGCAAACGGCAAACGAAGCTACCAGCGGAATTAAGGGGCCCATTGTGGTCCCTGATCAAGGAAAATTTTTCCGTCTTTGTTAATCTTTGGCAATATACAACGCACAAGAAAATAATGTAATCTACAGAAAAGCAGCGAATCGCTAAGCGTAGCCTCACTTAACCATTTCCTTTCCCGGATATTTTCGCGAAAACTCGTCCGCCGCATCCTTTCTGCTTTTTATTATTCAATTTTCTTCTCTTCCTTCTCTCTTTTTTTTAATAACAATCAAAATAAAATACAATTTTTTTTTGTGGAAACACATACGCACTCGCATGCATACTTCTTTTTGTAACCTGCTCTTTTTTTATCATTTTTTTCACATTCCATTAGAAAGAGAGAGAAAAAAATAACAAACGACCGTTTTGTGCCTCAAAATCACGAGAACGATGAATTTTCGACCACACATTCCTCCGTTAACTTGAATATCGATGTTTCCCCAACGAGAACATTGAGGTACCGATATAGTTTTCCAGTAATTAGCAATTGGAAAACTCTTCGTTTTACACAAAATTAAACATCTATCTCCACTTTTGGAAATAAAATTTTATTACAGCTCGTTCGAGCAATCGATAAATATTACCGAATCATTAAATAAAGTATCTATATTTGTCTGCAGTTATAACTTATAAATAGATATTGCTTTAACAAACTTTCGGACGAGGCCCGAGTCGCGAGGAGAAGGTAACGTTGAAAATTACAAAGTTCTACTCATGGAAAGTGTAATAAAATTGCGTATCTTCGTTAAGGAAAAGAGATCGAGAAAATTGGTCTCTAAGTCTCAGGACAACCCGTAATTTTGGGACACGCTCGAGAAGGGAGTATCGCTCGCGCGCGGGCGGAGGAAGTGGTTATAATCTCGATCGTTCGTGCGACCGGTTTCGTGCCGCGCTCGTCGTATACGTACCTAGGTCATCGTCCTTATCCCAGTTGCCGCTGGCGTTCACGTAGACGACCACGGCGAATATGTAGCCGCTAATCACGAGTCTCACCGCTATCTCGGCCAGCGTCCCGAGTGCCATCCCACGAAGGGGATGCGACACCCTCGCCGGGCACTTGGGCGGCACGCTCAAATCCGTCGTTCCCTGCATAATACCACCCCGCGGGTACGGCGCCCCCTTATTGTCATTCCACACCGGGCAGGACCCTGTCCCCGCTCCCCGGCTCTCCCGGCTGTCCCGGCTGCCGCGCGCGTGCAGGACGGCGAACACGCAGGACACCCCCACACACACACACACACGTACACACAGGATACTTCACCGATACGAGCGTGGATTCTTCAAGCCCGAACGCCCGCTGTCGAGGCGCATCGAAAGAGTGGGCCTGGCTGACGAAACTGCGCTTCCTTCACTGCGCTTCCTTTAGTCCGCGTCTCACCGCGTATCACTGCTAAATCAAGTGCAAAAGGATTGCCGGGCCTTTCGTTGTTACTTCAAAATGTCAAAATATATTTGACGCTACTCTTTAAATCGTTACATTAATTCGTATCAAAGTTATACATTAATAAATAAAAAAGAAATATCTTTATTTTAAGTAATAAAGATGTTTTGAGCAAAGTTCTTCGTTAAATTCGTTTTTGCCAACAAATAATATTTAAACTCGCAAACTTTCGTGCAATTACTAAGATCAATAAAATCGGTAATAAAGGATATGAGATATTGAATAATAGTGTTTGAGAACAAGCAAAAAAAAATCGTCATACGGACAAACCTTTTGTATCAACTTAATATTTCAGGATAACGTTCTCGCGCTTATTACTGTCACTATTTTTATCTCTTCCCGATCGATCCGGTTGCTAAAATATATCGTAGTTTTTTTTTTATTACGTCGTGTATATCAAGCTCAACAGCGATTATTTTCGCGGTTGTACCTTCGATTACCTTCTCGTAAGTTTATTGTCCTCGTACTTAAGGGTGTTCAGTCGCTCTCTCGTTGCAGCTGCTGCATTATCACCGCTATTCTTTTCTCGTGCTCATCAAACTCTTGTTAAACTATAAGTTCCCGACGGTAACAATTTCGTCACGCAGTTTCGTCCCCCCCCCCCTCTTGTACTCTATATCGCCCTTATCCCGACCGCGCGAATTCTCCCGTCACGATGTGATTTGTTAACGTTTCGGTTATCGTTGTCGATTACATCCCGGCATTCGTCACTCGTCCAGGAAGATGCATGGAGGCCCAGATTACTCACCGTTCAAATTGACGCCTGTCGCCGGCTCAAATAAAGATGGACATTCGAAAACATCCGGCCGGCATCGGAATCCCCCGTCCGATATTCCTCCGTCGACGTTTCGCGATCGATTACTACGAATTATTTTCTGTTATACTGCGTTAATGCGTCGCGTGTTAGTGTCGTTTCGGCGGATGGAGGACGACTCGCCTCGTCGAATATATTCACTCTCTGCGAGCCGCGTGTGACGCACAATTTTACCGAGATGGGCTCCGTAAATGGGCGAGAGAGATCTCTTTAAGCAAATGAGTTCTTTTTCAGTGGTGCAACTTGAGCGGCTCGGGTCGGCACGGTACGCCTGATCACGCGCCGACCCTCTTCCACTGGCTGCACACGATTCTAATTTCGATCCACTCTACTTATCCCGTCTCCTCCCGAATTCATTCGCGTTATTGTCGCGCACCTAATAGTCCTCCGTCTCCCCCCGCGCTATCCCCCGTGTCGGGAAAGTTCTTCGGCGGCCGGTTGCAACGGAAAGGATTAGTCGAGCAACTTTATCCCTTTAAGTTGGGAGGGACAATCGTTAATCACTTGATTAATCGTTGCACTCGTTACACTTCGACACGTATCTTATCGCGTGTTTGAAACGTTTCCGTAGGACGATGTTCCACAGTGTCGACACAGGCTGGGGAAGTATCTTCTTATTATCGCGCGCGCGAGAGAGAGAGAGAGCGTTATGCGTTAATTCATTTTAACAATCTTGTCGGCTTTAATGAAGAGGAGTGACATCTCAATGCACGGCGCTATTCGAAACATCGCTCGGTTTCGAGTCGGTAGATTTATGTCTAAGTTACTCGGTTAAAGTTATATTTAGTCAGTTCTATTAACAGCCGGAACTTCTTAGCACTTGCAAAACAATCCGCCGTCTCTCGAGAGGACTAATTCCGTCTTCCTCTCACTCCCGCTCTCCTTCTCTCTCTCTCTTTCTCTCTCTCTCTGTCTTTCTCTCTGTTCCGTCGATTAATCAAAGGGGAGTCTTATTGTCATTCCGTCCGAGATCAGACAGCCACTTCCTCCACTTCCACCCCATCGGCGAGAGGGTGAAATGGCGAAAGACAGGCAAGGGAGCAGGACGGGCTCGGCGGGGGATGCTTCGCGGTCTGATCGTCTCGCGAGCGTTCGAGAGGAGTGATTTCACCGCGACGGTATTCTCCAACGATTTTCCACCCCTAAAAGCCTCCCACCCCTTCTCTTTCTCTCTCTCCTTCCCTCTTGTCCTCCCTCCCTTCCTCTCTTTCTCTCTGCTCTCTCTCTCTTACCTCGAAGGTAGACGGCCTCCTCCCACCGCTAGCCCCGCGGCGATGTCCTCCGGCGAGGATCCTCTCGAGGAGGGGGTGAGCGCAGCGCGGGGGGAGGCTGACACGCTCTTCGAATAGTGCGAGGATCTCGAGGAGTCCTTCGGCAGCCTTCCTTAATGTTTCTTAATTACCCGCGTTCATTAATCACCGGGTCCTTTTGATGTCCGCTGAATGCTTTCTTTCGCCGCGTGATTCACGCGCGCGAGAGAGAAAGAGAGAGAGCGAATCGCGCCAGGCGGCTCGCTCTCGGAGCACCCGAAGGCACGCTAAAGCACTCGAGCGGAAGGCTCGAGGCTCGCACCTGAAATGGCGCAACGCGTCCTGACGAAAGCACCGCCTTTCTCCGGCGGGGATTATCGTCCTTCTGGGGCTGCCTCTCCCTTCGGGGCTTAGGGCCGCCGTTAGGTGATTCGACAATGGCGATGACAGATCGGTCGACCCGCTGCACGAGGCGTGCACTGTTTCGACACACGCACTATACTTCCGCTCTTATTCTACGGCTCCTCAATTTCCGCCGTGATCGATCATTTCGTCGATTTCCTTTTATCTCCAAAACGGGCGGGAAAAAACTGTCCAAAAAGTAGGATGTATAAGGTGCTATTGTTCGGTAAAAGAAAGCGATAATAATGTAAAAACACATGTAACAAACGGCATAATATTCGAAACCGTACGGGCGAGAGTTCGTGAAATTCGTTCTCTCGAATTAATTGACTTTATTTTTCGAGAGCGGCAAAAACATTCCGTTTTTCATTGGCGCGAATCGTTCTACTTTCTTGACAGCATAAAAATTTCTCCGCGGTAGTTACGGATACTCATACACGGCCGTCATACATGACGGTTCTCGCTTTGGTATCCCTTCTCCATCGTCTCTCAAACATTTAAAGGGTAATTTAGGATCAATTTCATTCACCTTTTCAGCTTTCTTTCGTTTTGCCTCTTAACAACCGCAATTGATAGCCCGAAAAATTCCTTCCCGAAGTAGTTACGGACAGTCACGCACAGCCGATTCATTCCCCATAAAATAGCCAGTTTGAACTTCCGTGCTCTTGGAGATTACCCCTTTTTTAAAATTAGTCAATGGAAGAGTACCGATCACACGCGCACCTCGGGCGAACCGTTTATCTCGCTTTACCAGCCGGTTGCCGACGGCAAGACGCTGAAAATCCCGACGTCCCCGTCGGCGTTGTCGTTTTTCTCACCCGGCTCTACCCGGCGGAGATCTCACACTCACTCTCGCAGCGGGAAAATCTCGCTTCCGTCCGATCTCGATAACGATCGCGGTCCGATCACGGGGGACCGGCGGCGACGGCGGCGGTGGCGGTGGCGGTGGCGGCGGCGGCGGCGGCGGCAGTGGTGGCAGCGACGGCGGCGGCGACAACGGCGGTGGTGGCAGCGGGTCGACGACACCGGCTAAATTTCCCACGAAATTTCTCGCCTACGGCGCGAGGCGCGGCGGCTACAGCCGGTGTGTTTTGCGCGAGCGGGAGCCGCGTTTCTCACTCCCCACGATCTGCCTTCGCACCTCCGCGTTTTCCTCCGACGAGGCGATACTCTCGACTCTCTCCTCCGCGGACGCGCGTGCTGTCGCGTGCGACGCGCTGCACGCTTCCTCGTCGCGCGGGCACGCCGCTATAAACCGCCGCGAGAGAGGAGGACGACGACGACGACGACGCGCGAGAGACGGGGCGCCGATCGATTTTCGCGAGTCAGTCCGATCCGGCCGCCTCGCGTTTCGACGCGTTTCGATGCCCGCGCGATGTACAACCCCCTACGCCGACGGAGGCGGTGGTGGAGGTGCGGCGGTGGAGAACGTGCCGAGCGCGCTGCCGCGCAGGGCTGTCCGTGCGTGGGGCGCACCACAGGGTGTCCCGGAATTGACCGGGCACCCGTATATATACGCCGTATTATCTTACGCCTACGAGATTCAACGAGCGTGCTTTCCCTTTGTGCAAACATTCAGGGTTGGTCTCCCTCACATTTTAATGCTCGATATCCATTAGCTGCAACTTCGGTATCCCGAAATAACGTCTCTGTTAAGTTTAATTCGATTACCGATAAAACATTAAGAATTGATGATTAACCGTTTTCCCATCTTAGCGACAGCTCGCGAAGCGATTAAAGCTTCTATCTTGTCGCATTAAAAAATAACTATAGCACAATAATGAAAAATGCATTTAATTCATGCTGAATTTAGAAATGCAATATAATCCTGCGTTTTGTGATAATTAAAGTCATTTGACCGGTTTAAGAACTTATCTCGACATAAATCCAGAACCTTTTTTAATCTTCGTATACGTATTTTATAATACTACTGCTTTAATGTATAATGTATAATTAATATAGTGACGTATTACTTTAATAAATTATGAGAAAATATAACATTTTTAAAAATAAATTTTATTCGGGCCACACATTTTGTATTAACTTATATTTCTTCTTTTATCAATAATGTTTGCCTTTGTTTCTTTACACAAATAAACATGAAAATTAATGAAAATTGAACAGGATGGTAGTGATCAAGGTCTACCCTAAAGCTCTCATCTGCAGACTTTCCTGATGACTGTCT